GTGATCTCGGGCATATGACTGTCAATTGGCGTTATGTTTCCCCGTGGCAGTTGTGGCTAGTGTTCCATCTTCCTTGGTTTGAGGAGGAAACGAGCTGGAAGTGAAGTTTCTTCCTACAGCTTTGGCGAAGGATCAAAATGAACGAGATCCATTAGGACCATCTGATCACCACGGCAGTGACTCCATTTCAACCCTTGCGAGGCCTAACTTTATTTGAAATTCTTGTACAAGTAATTTTCCGAAAAATATTCTTCTCAGGAGATGGGTTTATTTAGGCGAGTTAGGTTAGTTTGTTTGAAAAAAGTATATAGTCTCCATCCTCATGTTTCACAGCAGTCTTCTATATAAAAACAGGTAACCGCCGGCGGTTGCTTGGACGGAGCCATAATAGGTCAGTCATTATTGAGAGGTTTTTCCCAAAATCTTTGGTTGCGCTGGGTTTGCGGTTGTTGATGGTGTTTGTTGCTAGGTCCGAAAACTAAACCAATAACATTTTCTCCGAGGAAAAATTCACTTCGCGGTTACGTAAATTACTGAACAACCATTAAGTTCGCAATTTCTTTTATCAAATCACAGAATTAGACTGACAGATATTTGATTACTTCAAAAGAATGATGAAGATGTCTGCCAAAAGTTGCCTCCAATGCAGGTGGAATTCCTGTTAAAAACTTCAAATTTCACGTCGGAAATGTTCTTATTCTAATATAATGTGATATCTTTTCAATAATCATTCTATTCGTTCGTCCTTTTTCCTGTCACAGGATAAAATAGTGCATTATACACGGAAAAAATATTAGATTTTAGCTCACGATTTTTTGACAATACAACCTCGAGGTAAAATCTACTACTTTTTTCCATTGTATAATGAATAACTATTTCTTTATGGAGATATATATACACAGATTTTGTTTCATCAGTGGTTTCCACAATGGTCATGTCGCTTATTATTTTGCATATTTTCATTCAGTCATATAAGTGATAGTACTAATGAATTAATGTTTATTTTTACAAAAATGTACGACGACACTGGATATTTATAAATAAATCTGAGGCACCTTCAATGTCATTACCAATTCATGGATGATAAGATGTATTTATATCCTATTGAAACATATCTTTGAAAAACATCGTTATTGAAGTATATGTACATTTCAATAATATTTTTTCTTGCGAAAACGGTGTCATATTTTAAAGATGTATAGAATCCATACTGAATATTTCGATATCATATTATAAAACGAAAAAAACGAGAGTTCATGAAAAATCTGACATTTGATCTTTCTTCATATCATTCGTATTATTGCGCAATGATTATATATCAATGGCTGCATATCTGCAATTTCATTGAACTGGACTCGTTTCTGTATAAAATCATAGCATTGAATATATAAATACCGACTCCAGTTTCTTCCAACAATCAAAGTGATATTATACGAGGTGTTTTTGAAATAAGTACATACAGGGTGAGTCATGAGGAACTGTACATACTCCAACCACGAATAGAGGCACCTGAGGGGAATACTGAAAATTCAACAGAAAATGAAGAGAATCAAGTACCTGAGCCACTTCGATATACATTTTTCCAATGTATCAATATTATTTGCACCGCAAAATTTGTTGCAGTTTACCCACCAACTGATTTTCCGCAGTCTTATACAGCGTGTCTCACTTCAACCATCAATACGATCAGTTATTCAGAGACGAACATCATTTTGGACAGTGCCATGGTGATTTTTTCAAGAAATTATATTGGGTTTGTTTTTACAGAGAAACTGACCTGATAATATCATTCTTCATGGTTTCGAATCCTCATATGTCAATAAAAAAATCGGACACATCTAAACAGCATTTTTGCGAACGGAATAATCTTTTAATCGGAAACTATGAGTTCAAAGAAAAGTATATGTATTGTTTTTGCTTTCATATCATAATTTTCTATAGTGATTCACACGAGACCAACGAGACGAGACTTTCATAAAGTCTCGTCTCGTCTCGCCGATGAAATATGAAGTCTTGTCTCGAGTCTCGTCTCGCAGTCTCCAGTCTCGTCTTGTCTCGCGTCTCGTACGAGAGTCTCGCAAATGTATCGCAATTTCGTCATGCATAATCTTGTTCCAGTCTAGTACGGGATATTCACCTTTACCTTCTTTCTAGGTATGATGTAGAAGTAGGAAGACAAAATTACAACAAAAATAACATTATTTATTGAAAAGTAAGTACCTAATAGGTCTCGTCCCGCAGCCTCTTGTCTCGTCTTGTCTCGCGTCTCGTACGAGAGTCTCGCAAATGTATCGCAATTTCGTCATGCATAATCTTGTTCCAGTCTAGTACGGGATATTCACCTTTACCTTCTTTCTAGGTATAATGTAGAAGTAGGAAGACAAAATTACAACAAAAATAACATTATTTATTGAAAAGTAAGTACCTAATAGGTACATACTTACATCATACATCTAAACAAGAAAAAAAAAACATTTGTTTTTCAACATCGTGCAGATCGATGTTTTCTTATAGTTAACGCAGCACATGAGAATAATCTTTCCGCCAGGACTGAAGTAGCCGGTATGCTTACTCAAACATAGAATGGGAAATTCAGAAGCATGAATTTTCCACCATTGCAATATATCTGCGATGTGTTTCTATTACACAGAGGCACAGAATAATATTTTTGAAGCTCCTGCATCCATACTTCCGTCAAAACAAAGTGATTCTTTATCTTAGACTATTTAGCACAGAATGACTTATTTATAGATTTTCAGGCAAGTAGTCATTCAATTCGCGATCTGTCGTTATTGCAGAATTGCCTTCATTTTCCGCCGCCATAAGAGATCATGGATTGTGTTTTTAAAGTATTTATGAATGAAATTTTTTGTCTATCTGTGCTAAATAGTCTGAATTATTTCTAAATATGTTGTATTATGAATGAAATTCTCAAGTATGCAGTCGGCACGCAGAAATATTTACCTGCGAGACTCTCGCACGAGACTCGAGAAGTCTTGCACGAGACTGGAGACGAGACTAATAAAAGTCTCGTCTCGTATTGTCCGAGTCTCGTCTCGAGTCTTGTCTCGAAAACGAGACGAGACCATGCGAGACTCTCGAAAACGAGACTCTCGCGGGCATCACTAATTTTCTACCAAACTGATATGAATTCACTATTTTTTCAAGGCGGAAAATAAAAAAAGAGGCCAATCCTGTATAGTGGTTCGAAAGCATGATGGAAAACAGTAATTGGGGAGATGACTGAGAGTCACTTCGAGATACCATAAACTTCTACTACTGATTCACATGGAGTTAGTCTACAAAAAAAATTCTCAATATGATTTCATGAAGAGTCGCCCCCTTTTTATTTCGTTTAAATTTCACGGCAATGTCTAGAACGATGTTCGTCTCTTGTAAACTGATCATATTGATGTATAGATCACCCTGTGAATTTGATGTCATTCAATATGTACCACATTTGGGTTAATTGAGATCACTTTATTTCATTTTACTAACAAAATTCTCTATTGAAGGTACATTCTACTATTATTATTTTTATTATAAATTATTCTTATTATTATCACCATTATTATTGTAATTATTATTTTCATCATTATTATTTTTATTATTATTATTTCAATTCATATTATTTCAGTCACGATTCTGCGGCCTCCAACGTTGTTAAAGAATCAAATAATCAAATGAAATAGATCAGGCCATATCCAGATATTCAGTCGATCAATATTTATTTGTTTCACTATTCGGCAGAATGGCACAAGATTTATTGCCGCTGCTGGTGTTTTATAGTCAAACATATCATTTTTTTTCCAAATTCGTTTAAATTTCAAGCAAAGTCCAAATAATCCATAATTTTTTGTTCACCGAAAGTCATTGTCAATAATGATAACAAATTTGATTCAAATTATTACTTGCATAGCAACAAACCTCTTCTGTATAGGCAGTAAAAGTACACCTTTATGCCTGTTGAGTGTCATTATAAAGCCACTTTTAATGTCATTTGCAGAAGAATAGTAGATTTTTTTATTAGAATCAAAAGTGACGCAAAATTTGCGAGTCGAGCAAAGTCACTCTTGATCAGAATGAATCATGCTATTTCTTGTGTATCCGAAAAAAATAACTCAGATGTGAAGTAACCACCAATACCGTGCCATATGTATGCAATGCAACAAATATTGACAAATAATCCGTGTGGTGAGAATATTCTACCTGCATCAATAGCAGGTTTATTCAATTTTCAAGGATGTTCGAATTGTAGTTTCAATATAAATACAACCACAGAGTGACATATTTGTGTATGGACCAGGTGCTCTAATGGCAAATACCGCGCCAGTGCCAGGTTTAGGAACAAGACGTGGAAAATGTTGGGTTATTGAGTATATCAACAATAATAATAGCGATTATTTATTCCTCTCCATACTACACTGTGTTTGACTTGATAATCAAATGAAGGTAAACAATATCGTTGTTTGAGACAAAAAAAAACTATTGCTTGCCGTGATTACTCAAAAGCTATCCACCCCGAGAATAACGAATGGAATACAGATCAAGCAAGAATTCGAATCTTGAAGGCTTCCCTGATCAAAACAAAAATACTTAACTGATATGTTTATAATTACAATACTTAACTATAATACAGTGTATCTATATCTCCAGCATGGGTATGGAATGCCAAATCTGCCGAAATCGGAAACAAATCAGGTGTGCATCTCAATCCAAATAATCAACCGTAACAATATTGTTTATTCTCGATGACGTCCAGTACATCCATTTCAGCTCCTAGGAGCTGAAGTTCAACTTTAGCTACAAGGAACTAAAGTTCAACTTTAGCTCCTAGGAACTAAATATGTTGCCTAGCAACATACCTATTTCTGTTTCAGTAATAGGAACGTCAATTTGAGAGCTGATATTCAATAATTTACTGTTTAAATACGGTCATGGAAGATATTCCATGACTTTCAAACCTATTTTTTGATAGAACGTATATGTCACTGACTTACCTATAAATATCGGCGTAAATTTCCTCTGCTCCACGCTTTCCAATGAAAATGTCACCCATGTTCCCTATGATGGGATACGGTTTGGGTCCAGGTATCCCCATGCGCTCCCAATAATTCAAATTTCTCTTTGACGAATAATACAACAAGGCAATTAAAATCACTATCACTACGAACAGCATGTTTATGGTTCAAACTTCGCGAATAAATTGATCAGCTTCGATTCACATATAGTAAAAATGTGATATCGGCTATAAGATAAAAGGTCTTAACCCTATACTAATCGATGGGGATGTGAAATACCAAGAATCAATAATGGAGATTTATTCAATATGGGGAAATGTCAGATATATCGTATGATCAATGTTCTTCTCCTCATTCCTTCTTCTTTAAAATCACACTTTCAAATTGATAAAGTGATATTCTAGGATTATTTTCCTATTGTGATGAAGTTGATATCTCTTGGTGTGAAAACTAAGCGAAAGTTTTTCTGGAGTCCTAAGCATAAACCTTGAAACCTCATTCCCATCCTCATCCCCAAAGATATCTCGGACAAAACTAGATTGAACAATTCTTACTGGACGCTTCCTGAGTCAATTATACAGGGTGTTCCAAAATTGCTAGGACACAGAGCGGTCAAAATAAGTTAATTGGACCCAATTTATTAATATACGAGAATGTACCGTTTGTCCGTGAGAAGAGTTCTGAATATTGAATGAAAAAACAGGTGCATTTCAACTTCTCACGTCGAATTGACCATTGTATTGATGACGGTGGCCGTCAAATCGAACATTTATTATAAATAATGCACTGCCTTCGTTTCCACTGTCAACTGAATTTTGTATTAGGAACGATGCTTTAAACTTGTACTGGGAATATCTGTAAGCATTTTTTCTTTTTCATAAATATGGGTAGTACGTTTCTACGAGAGTAACAAAATGAAGATATTCAATCTGTCTTCTCGTTAAAGACATTTGAGAATGGTATTATACCCTTTAGGATGTTCTGAAGATAGTTTCAATCCATCTACAATTTTTTCTTGGGTTTCTTTGATAACTGAAAGGAGAGGAAGAGAGAAATCCTCTAAAATGCACTTTTTTTCTGTGACGGGAAAAAAGTTTGGCATTTCATCTCTTTGGCAGGTTATAAAATGTCACTTTTCATAAATTACTTTTTTCCCGTGGGAAAAAAGTGAGTACTGTTTTCCCGGATATATATCACATATATATACTCTGTTAATGGCTTTTGTTGTGCTATAGTTCCGAAAAATGAGTCAATAATACCGTCTCCGAGAAAGAACTGCAAGTCCTTTTATCTTCCATTCGACTTCGCGGTTTCGTATATTACTAAAACAACTACTGAATTCGCAATTTTTCAAAATCAAATCACAGAATTGAACTGACAGAAAGTGACATCAGATATTTGATTACTTCAAAAGAATGATAAAGATGTCTATAAAACGCAGGTGTCCCTACTGTTAAAAACTTGAAATTTCACGTCGATGATTTTCAGATTTCGAAATAATGTAATATCTTCTCAATATTGATTCGTCCTTCCTTCTGTCATAGAAAAAAATAGTGTATTATACACGGGAAAAATATTAGATTTTAGCTCACGGTTTTTTGTCCCCCTCCGCTACGCGTCGGGAGACAACACAACCTGGAGCTAAAATCTACTACTTTTTTCCCTCGTATAATAAATAACTATTGTTGAATTTCATCGAATTTGTTTCACTCATTTCTGAACAGCGAACAAAAATGTGTTATTTCAAACAAACGGTTCTTTTGGTATAGAAATGAATTGGGTCCACTCAACTTATTTTGACTTCTATCACAAGTGGTAGCTCTGTGTTCCAGCAATTTTGGTATATTACATGAGTATCGAGAAACAAGTCAGATATTGTTAACGAAAACCCCGAAAATTTGCAAATTCAATCATCAGGTCGTAATAATCTCCTCCATGTCCTTATCAGTGTCGTAGTCAAGCATTTTGAAAGCCAACTTCCTGTTGTTCTTCCAATTTCGGCTGCGATTACAGCTTCAGAAAGACATCTCTCAGCTGCTTGTATTCTTTCTTGAAGATGTCTAAAGAGCTAGCTGGGGATTTCTTACTAGAACCATTGACCACCAAGGATTTTTGCTGATATTTGAAAAGCACCTTTCCTGGACTTCCTCTCTTCCTAGGACTCTTTTTTTTTTCAATGATGTTCAAAGAATATCGTCTGTACCTAGGGGGGATTGGGAGAGGAGGAACTTTGGAATACTTCCATCGGCAAAGAGTGTCTAAGCTTCGCCGTTCTAAAGACGAACGAGTTTTGGTGAAGTGTTGTTCGACATATTTCAAGGTTATCGGAAGGATGTGGTGACTGAACCTGTCGAGTTCGTCTGAGTGGTGTTGATAGTGATGAATGATAACAGAGATTTCGGAGGAACATTTCCCGTGGAAGTATCTATAGAAGAGTAAAAGGTTGCCGACTTTTTCACGGTTTTCTGATGAAGTCGAAGTATAAGTGAGTTGTGGCATCACCCAGCAGGCGGATGAATCTCTCCTGGATAGCCGTATCTGTGCTTTGTAGATCATGAGATTTACGCACGGAATAAAAATCCGAGTTTTTGTGAAGCAGCTTTCGCGATGGATCGGACATTATTTCCCATGAAAAATAATTTCTGATGGAGATGCCAGGCATTGATGAAGTGGTCTTGGTGGAAAAAAAGGTGTCAGACATTGTCATATCAGGCATACTGAGTTCCGCCTTTCTAGAGAAAATGCAGGCTCGAGCTATGGTGGCGTTGAATTCAACAAGATTGTTGTTGGTTTCACCGACTATAATTCCAACAAGATCGCCATTGACAACATTGGCCTGCCTTCGTCGTGAGTTCTTAGTTTCCTGAGAAGAAATGGAAATTTTAGAAGAGAACGCAGTACTATCGTCTGCAAAGCTGTGGATAGGGCAACTGGTTGCTCCCAACAGATCATTCATATGGAGTTGCAACAATATTGGTGCCAGATTTGATCCTTGTGGACCGCAGGAATTGATGGCAATGGTATATCAGACGATACTCCGTCCACGACCACAATATGTAGCGCTCTGACTGAGAGAAAACTCGATGAAAGATGGCATAGCTGCGGTGGTGAACTTTATGATGGTAGTTTTTGAAGGAGTCCTTGATGTCAAGCATGGTCGAATGCCTTCGATAGATCCAACGCCACAGCTATCTGCTGAAATCGAAAACAAATCAGGTATGCGTCTCAACTCAAATAACCAACCGTCACAATGTTGTTTATTCTTGATGACGTCCAGTAGATCCTTTTAGTTCCTAGGAGCTAAAGTTCAACTTCAGCTCCTAGGAACTGAAATTCAACTTTAGCTCCTAGGAACTGAATATGTTGCCTAGCAACATACCTATTTTTGTGTCAGTAATAGAAACGTCAATTAAAGAGCTAATTTTGGTATCAAAATGGACGACTTTTGTGTCGGTTGCAGAAAAAAAATATTGATTCGTTCACACTGAGTGTAATTCATAAGTTAACCTTCTGGGGGTGATAAAGACAATCAATCAATCAATCAAATGGCTTCGATTCGATGATTCAGAAAGATCACAGTCTTGTTGATATATATTTTTTATCAAGGCCGTGCCCAGTATTTTTGGGGTAGGGGTCCAGGAAAAAAATAACTACAAATCATTTTGTTTTCGATCTGAAGGAAAAAAGTCGCTTTCAGGCCGTCATTGCGAGGATGGTCTGGACCCCTGGGCACGGCCCTGTTTTATTGTGGGTAATGGACTATTCTAATGAGAATGACCTCTCGGAAACTGGAAAGTGGATAGTCTTATTGGAGAGTTTCATATTATTTAAAAAATATCCATTTGATTTGAAGAAGTGACGAAAGAGAAATTATCTTATGGAATATCCAAAAATGTCTGGGAATTCATATTTGTAATCGTCTTATCACAGTTCTTAATTAGTATGTTTTCAAAATAATTGTCAATTTGTACAATCTGTTAAACTATTTGATCTCATTTGCATGATACATGAAGTGAAATCATCACAAGGACCATTCAAGGAACACCTATCGAATGGATTGAGGAAACCAAGGAAAACTGAACAAAACAACAATGTGTGATGGAAATCATTTATTTCAGCTCTAAAATGACTCCAAACATTGTATCGATGACAATAACTATTATCTATTGATGTTTTCTGAATGTAAACCGGTATAAAAACATATATTTTGGAAATAGAGAACCATATATTTTTTAACTTGGTCGATAATTTCATGTGATGAGCTGCTTGGAATTCCTTCAGAAGAGAAAGTTGATTTCTTCGATCTTGAGTTCCTGAGGTGATTTTCTGAAACTCATGGATTCCCTTGAAAAAAAACAACTTTGGTCCTGTGTGAGGAAACAGATGATAGTTAATTAAACAAACTGTTCCATTCCAAAGGAATGACCATGAAGAAATTATTGCATCGGCTGGTTATCAAAAATCAACGTGTGAGAACGATGCTTTTCAGAATTCATCAAAACAGTGGTAGTGATCATCAAGGTATTGTAAAAGTTCCTTCACACCTCTGATTGATTATTCTGGAAATGAAGATCAGACAATAAAACGTGCTGGGGTGCCTATAAACAAAGATAAAACAGAATATTATAAAGAAATAAAGGTTATTTTGTTTTTTCTTGATATAAGTAAATTGCATTTTATTATGAATGATCCATGGATTCGAATGTTCTCCAATTGTTGAAGAACCTGATAGTAAATAGATAATGATTATAATATGGGAGAAAAACAACTACCTTTCTTGCTAATGTCACGCAGAACATTGACTTATATCTGACTAGTTCCCTAGATGCCAAAATGTGTTTAAATAGTAGCCTGAATACCTACAGACCACCATCTGAAGTGGAACCGGGCCAACGGTTACATGAAGAACACGGTATCTAGAACAGAGGGAGAAACACTGCGAAAATAAAATTTGTAAGATGGACAGTAAAAGACGGAATATAGTAATTTGACTCCGCATACTCAATCTAGACGATGCTATTGAATTCGTGTTCTTGACATTGTAATCCTTTGGTGGTGATAGGCTGCTCTCTTATTTGAAAATCACCCCTGCATGCCGGCCCATATTCTTTCTGGAATAATGCAGAATGCCCTCATTCTCTGATCATTCTGTCTGCTC